AATAAGTCAATCAGAGAAAGACATATATCATATGACCTCACTGATATGAGGAATTCTTAATCTCAGGAAACAAACTGAGGGTTGCTGGAGTGGTGTGGGGGGTGGGGTGGCTGGGTGATACACATTGGGGAGGGTATGCGCTATGGTGAGCGGTGTGAATTGTGCAAGACTGTTGAATCATAGATCTGTACTTCTGAAACAAATAATGCAACATATGTTAAGAAAAAAGAAAAAGAAGCAGATAGCAGGAGGGGAAGAATGAAGGGGTGTAAGTCGGAGGGGGAGACGAACCATGAGAGAAGATAGACTCTGAAAAACAAACTGAGGGTTCTATAGGGGAAGAGGGTGGAAGGATGGGTTAGCATGGTGATGGGTATTAAAGAGGGCACATTCTGTGTGGAGCACTGGGTGTTATGCACAAACAGTGAATCATGGAACACTACATCAAGAACTAATGATGTAATGTATGGTGATTAACATAACAATAAAAAATTAAAAAAATAGGAAAACAACTATTGTAACAAGCACAAAAATAGTGTCACTTACCTTTGCTTCTATCTGTCCCTAAATATCAATGAATTACAAATATCTCCATGCACATCATCTTAACACTTATAGAAGTCCCAACTGCACTCATTCATATCACAGGAACACCCAGCTCAATGTGCAAGCTTGTTAGAAGCAGCATAAATTGCATGTCAGACAGGCGGCTACAGTGGCATCAACAATCCAAAGCAAGAGAATTAAGAGCCCTCGTGGAGGTCACTATCTTGACCATGCTCACAGAGTCAATGTTAATGACAACATTGGAAAACAGAGGGACCCCCTCTGTCCCCCAGATGGACCAGGATATGATGTGGACTTGGAGTTTGATGATGACACCACACACACACACACACACATACACACACACATACACACACACACACGAGAGTATAAAACCTTTATCATTTCCACCATAATGTATGCTGAGAGCAGGGCAGGCCTCTCAGCAACTCATAACTGCTTGTAGAAAGCCAGGGAAGGACACTGGCTTAGGGTGTGTGTTGTGGGTCAGTGGTATGTATGGGGGGGGTCCTGCTCAGGGGAGGGGATTGTGTGGTCAGTCTCCCACCTGCATCAAAGTGGGGAGAACCCATTGGTTCTTGTTAGATATTCCATCAGTGACAAAGTAGGAGAAGAGGGAGGAATGAAGGTCAACAAGCTAGTGGACAATAATCAAAAATTACTATGTGATGAATAATTCCACTAAACACGAATGAAAACTCGGAGAACAAAAGAGAGAATTGACCACACTAAGTAGACAAATTCTGGATGCTTGCAAAATAAAAAGAAAGATCCATGGCAAATCACAAGTAATAAAGTCATGATAGAAGGAGACTGAGTTCTACCCAGTGTCTGGGGTGGAAGATATCCTGTCCCACCAGCTGGTTCTGCAGGTCTTGGGTGTGCTGCACACATGCAGAGATCAGAAGCTTCTATGATCCATGAGAATCCTCGGGTTGGGGTGCTGGATGGGAGGAGGCTTCCACCTGCAGGGAATAACTAATGGATCCCCCAGGTGCTGATATCAGCTCAGTGTGTATGACACTACTATCACCATGTTAAACCTAATGACAATGTGATGGGAGGAGGAGGTGGGGCCTTAGTGAAGCACTTAGGTCAGGTGAGTGCAGCTTCATTTGGGAAGAGTGCCCTTATACAGAAGGACTTGGAAAGCTCCCTGCTCCCTGACCCCATGTGAGGTGACAGGGAAAGGACACACTAGGAGGTGGGTGCTCTCCAGACAAGAGATCTGTCTGCACCCGGACCTGGTACTTCACAGAATCCAGAACTGTGAGAAATGAATATATGTTGTCAAAACCTTCTGTTCCATGTACATTGTAACAGCAGCTGGAACAGACTGAGACATTAGTGACACATGAACCCAAGCACTGATGCTCTGGAGTTTCCCTGCTG